GAAGAATATATATATATATATATATATATGACTATTTTTTTTTCAAGAAGCTCTTAGAAGTTTTTCAGAACTAAATAAAAACTAGGAGAAAACAATGTAAACAAAACTAATGGAAATAAACTTATATTAATTACTTACAATGACCCTTGAGTTACTTTTTTCCAATTACAATGTATTAAGTAAGTTATTTTAGTGAATGCTATCTTTTAAATATTCGTGTAATTAATAAGATAAGAAGGCTTTTTTTAATTTTCATATAAATCACACATTAAGTATATTTATAATACTTTTCAATCTTTCCACATTCAAAGATGGATATCTAATCACTCATTCTTTGTTTTGTGGCTAAGACTTTCATCAAATAACAGTATGTAAATCTAGAAGATGAATATGGTCAATTAACAGTTCTCTGAAATGTGGGGAGATTTCAAACACATAGAGATAACATTTTTTTGGTCACTGCTTAAAAACTGTGCTATAGTACTGTCTGAAAATATATTTCAAAACATATTCCAATATCTAAGTATATAAATCATAAGACTAGTGAGACTTTATAACCTTAAGTGTCCCGAGAACTTCAGCTTTCAAAATGTTCATTCCACTCACAAAAGGTGCACATGAAAGTGAGTTGATGAGTGTTGGTAGAACATATGAAGCAGTTGGAAGATCAATCATAATTGGAAGGCTTTTATGAACCAATTTTCAAGGTTACAGCTGTAGCTCCATGACCTTTGTTACCTTTATCTGTGAAAAATCCTTCACACTCACATTTTGCAGCACATCCACATCTTGGTGTGTTTTTTTGTTTTTCTTTTCATGTGGGAAATTAGTGCCGATTCACGAATGTAAGAAAGTTCAAATACTTTCTCACAAACTCTGCAATAGGCTTCTTATTTGTGTTCTGTCCATTTGGGCCATATTTAATCAGTTTTACATAGCCATTGTTCATTAAAATCAGGCTTTCCAGTAGGCATTTTATGATTCGGTCAATATTCTGTTACTTGAACTATAAAGCTAAGCACTTTTCTATTGATATTTTGGACAAAACACGGTATATAAAAGCTATTAACATCAGTGGACATAATAATGATGTATCTCGGAGAGCACAATTTCCAACACAGAACACAGGAGAACAGCATGCACAACTAGATCTGCTTATTAATTTGTTAACTGCCCCAACTATAAATTATATGCAAACATTAGTTAGAAGGATGCTTTTATTTTACATTTTAAACCAGAAAACTCACAACTGTAATCCAAAACTAAAAAGTACATGAAAATTTGCTCAATAGAAAACTTATGAGAACCAAGTGAACATTGTGATGCATGGTAAAATAATGAATTATAGTGATAAGGTAGTGGTCAACATAAAACAAATGTATACATTCACATGTATATTTATGTTCTTAATTATGCTCAAATGATTGTCTACAACTACTTTTTTTTATACAAACAAAATGTAAAAATCTGGAGACATTTAATGTTATCATATATAAACAGTACATGGCTTGTTTCCATGGCCCATATAACATACCAAGTTCCTCTGCAGTAGTTTTTAACTTATCTAGGCTGCGACTGATGATGATAATATTAAGTCCACGTTTGGCAAATTCTCTGCAATAAGCCTTTCCAATGCCATCGGTGCCACCGGTAACAACTAAATAGTGACAAAAAAATTATTTATTACCCTTACATAGTTACGTGGATTCAAACATAATGCTAGTGGAACACGAGTGTCATACTTAAAGGAATATGCATGTTGATGTTCGTTCGGCTGGCAATATAGTGTATGGAAACAGGATGGATAACCCCATAATTTACAATTAAAATACAATGCAAATGGTATACATTATAGGTAAATGTACAAAATAAAAACTTTATCAGTTTTTAACTTTCAAGATGATACATTTGAAATTAGATCATTTTAATGCTATTATGTTATCGTGGAGAACTGTGATACAGTTCAGTCATATTACTGATGTTAAGGACAACTAAGGAAGAAATAGTTTTCTTAAATGACAAGCAACTTTCAAGAACTACCTGTGAAACCTTTTTGTGGCTATTATGCTCTAACATCCACACATAATGTTGGTGGACTTTGTTAATCTATTAATCATCAGGCTCATTAATTGATTATGTTTAACTAATCAATTATTCTTACATCAGACTTAAATGGTTGAAACAATTAAAAATGCTAATTTCAGTTAGCTTAATTCTGTGACATTAATTTGGTCATAATTTTGATTATTTAGCTATTTTACATAATACTACCTATACTTATATACAACTGATTATGTAGCATAAAATTGAAAGACAACAAAAAAGTTCATCCATCTACTGTCCCATTCATTAAACTGAACTATATTTTAAAAAATCCAGTCCTTATCATTCCAATATTTATCAAGACTTCCTTTAAACTCCTTTGAATTTATGCTTCTACTACATCTGAAAGCAACCCCATCTAAAGGGCAACCACCATATTTATTCGACCAACACCCCAAAGTCCCTTTTTCAAATAGCATTCTCCTCCCCATAGTGAGCAACACCCAAGATCTTACTATCATCAATAAATGTAAGTAATTTACTAACCATTCCTTCATCTATGTTATTGATATAAATCAAAAAGGTTTTCCTCAGTTTTAAAGGAGGTCAAAAACCAGATATGCTAGTTTCTAATTTTTAACAGGTCAATGAAGTGCGGGCTGGTGCTTGAGTTGCTTATGCCAGTTGCTTATGCTACTAAACTTTTTAATGTGATAAGAGTTGTCCTGAATATTATAGTTTAACCTCTGTAGTGGGAAAAATTCTATAGTCTGACAAGTTACTATTTTTTAAGGAAGATATGTTATTTGCACAAGCGAAAAAGCATGTACTTAAACTATGAGAAACAGCTAGCTGATAATTTTATGATTTGGAAAGGGTTCATAGGAGGACTTCTAGGATGATCCAGAAATTAAAGGATTTCTTACAGGAATAGGTTTCAATCTCTAAATTTAATTTTTCTTCAGGAAAGCATAGTAATATGGTAATTTTATCAATGGTTACAAGATTATCCAGGGGATTGAAAGGATTAAGACCTCTAATTTCTTTGTGCTATATTCTGAAGAAAGTAGGCCCAGAAAACAAAAGTTTAAGATTTGAAAAAAAAAAGGGAGAGATTAGGTTCGAGTTTAAACAATTTGATTCTTCTAAAGGTAATGACTAACTTGCTATCAGCACTAGTGAGGGCCAACATTTTACAGGTATTTTAGAGAGAAATCTGTGATCTCCTGAAAAGTAAAGGTGGATTTAAATTTACTTTTCTTAAGGATGAGTGTGCAAGGACAGCCTTGAAAGACCAAATGGTACCTTGATGTCCATAGTTTATGTTAACTGCAGCAGTGACAGTTAACGAAAGTCTATAAACAAAACATTGAACAAATAATGCAAAGGTTCCCATTTATTCTTTATAATGCATAATTAAACCTACAGAACTGGTTATTGGACAGTGTAATTAACAGGTCACAAATTACAACAGTTAAGTTCTATTAAGATTTTGTTTTAGAATATATATGTATTAATTTGAATTGAAATTATGCTAGCTTATATATAATGAACACTGAAAATCAAAAACAAAACTATGATTGACAATAACAAGAATTAATCATAATTATGGATTCTAGAAGGGAAAAAAGAAAAGGTCTAACTTTCTATTGGAATAAGATATTTCAATGATAATACAGTAATGTAAACAAACAAAACAAAACACATACATGTATAATGAATCCTGTCACAAACTGATTTTTAATTCTGTACCTCACTGAATACATGAATGTTGAGTTTTAATTTCATATATCCAGATTACATCTTATGTTCATCTTTTTGAAACTACTGTTTGTATATTTTATAACAACAGTAATAATTTGACTCATATTTAAGTGTTGTATAAAAACATAGTTACACTAAAAACTGAAATCTCTAATTAAACCTATGACTACATACAGTAAAATTAAATAATCAAATTGGTTGCCATTTGACAGGCTTAATGAACATATAAAGGTTCTGAAGTAAAACATGACATCACAAAACTATACTTTCACTTTGTATTTTTCCACTATATCCATCTATTGCAAGGGGAAATATTTTACTTTATATTGCTTTCCTAAATGTTCAGAATTTGTACATACAAAAAAAAGGAATATTTATTAAGATAAAATAAATTAATAAATCTCATGATTAGTCATCTGAAATTATATAGTCTGTACCATTCTTGTTAAGGAAATATAACCTAGAAGTTATTTTAACTACAGATTTCCTTCACTGTTCTATATTAATTCGGCTTCTACTTTGCACTTATGTATGTGTGAGTATCCAGCTAACTCCTTATACAGTTCTGGAGCTAAAGCTGAGTAATTAGTGGTATTTGCTACTTGATTAAGTGACAGCCCCATAAATTGATTATATATGATTAATTCACTGGTAATATTCCTCAAACCATGGTACCTATAGGCAAAAAAATAAATAGGTTGGCAGTGGGTACTGCCAGACAATCACATTCCTTCTAGTTCTAGTCAGTAGATCAAAACTGGTGACAATGGCAGATAACTGTAATAGCTTTTTCCATAATAAAAACAGGGCAAGTAAGTTTGATTGCAATATTTTAATTTCATGGGTAGTTGAAACAATCAAGATTAGTAATAACCAGAAAACTTTATTTCAATTAGTTGATTCTTTTCATGACAATCACTAAAAATGGAATTGAGGTAAATCAATTGTGGGAATAAATGAAAACAGTAATAATCAGAAACACTAATTTTCATTAATTAATTTAATAATAGTTTCACTTAATCAATTAGTTTACATGACAATAATCAATGTAATTGTTGCTCATGAGTAATCAGTTATATCAATTAAACTGCCCAGCTCTATCTGGAGCCAGCAGGACAGTCTTGGTGTCCTTATCTATTAGGTGTAGTACCCATACTAAGGGGGATTAAGAAAGCTGTTGCATTTTTTTTTATCAACTTAATTAAATACTAATGGAACATCCACAATACATGGAAGTTTCATGTCAGTTGCACAGCTGAAGATGTAGTAATCAAACTTAAAAACTAAGCATTAAGGATGGGACATTTCCACTTTCTATTAAGTGACATAGGTCATTTCATCAAATGGTATCTCCCCTACACCTACTTACTAAAACAACTAAACAGGAAATTAAAACCAAACATAGCTCTACACATACACTTATGAAATTTAAATGAAGTTTAAATTACAAGTAACAGCACATGCCATATTATTAGGCATGTTATTCTTCAAACTTAAATTTTTAAAGGAAAATTAATCTGACCTAAAAGAAACAAAATACAAAAGAATAACTGTTGACAGAACGTCATTTAGCCCAGCAGGGTCACTCCTCACAAAAGAAAAAAAGTTTCAGTTAAATGAACCTCTTTACTCTAATATGAATATCCACAAAAATCCAACAGAACTGAAACTAATGGCACAACATAATCAAGCAAACTACTTCCCAAATTTATAAACTGATAAAAAACAAATGTATAGCTGGGCTCTCAACCCTTTAAAAATTTAAAATATGATATTTGAGTTTGAAGGTGAAACCTTTTCATTCCTTCACTTAAACTGCCAAAGCCCTTGGCAATTTTATCATTTGAAACAAGTACTTTCTACTTATTTTATGTTGTAAAACTAGTCAAAAAAACAAAGTCAAAACTCTTAGTTAAAAATAAAAAGCATAAATAACTTAATTCAAAACTTCAAGTACACTTTCCAAAAGTCCAAAACAAACAAGTTCAGAAATGTGAAAGACACTAAAAGTAATCATGATATTGCTTATTGAGTTTTAACCTGAAATTTATGTTCTGGGTCTGCCTTTATATAGTTTTCTTTCTCAGTTAACTTACTGTAGTTAATAATTATAATTCATAGTCTGTACGTTTGTGTACCGGGACTAAATCCACCATAATGGTAGTAACACTATTAATATTAATTATTAACACTGACAGTAACATTTAACTTTATTTTATAATATAGCTATTGTAATTTGGTATAGTTAAAGGTATTTTATTTAAGAGTTACAAGAAATATCAGGTAACATAATGATTAATGTTATATGTCATAAGTTCTTCCTTTAGCTTAAGTATTTAATGATTTAGGTAAAAATTTACCTGCCCAACTTCCATATCGCTTGAAATCTTGCTGGCTTAAACGCGCAATGAAATAAACACGAAAACCTTGAAATACTTTCCAAGCAAAAATTAAGGTAGTTTTACTAGCATAGAGTAAACCAATGACTGCTAAAAGTTCTTGACATCGTTTTAGCTGTCTTCCTACTTCTCGAATTAAATATATGGCCTGATCAACTGCAGCCATAATGCTAAGTTGGTAACTATTCAAAACATTAGAATTTGGCCCACCAGGTTTATTATATAGAACACTCACTAAATACAGTTATTGTTACATTTTGAAAAGTCACCGACGAAATATTAATATATATATATATATATAAGTAAAAGGAATAACTATATGCAAAACAAAACTGGTACTTCTTAAATAATTTATATATACTCAAATCCCCTGCTTTTTTACATAATGTATAACTAGATTAAAAGTATTGTCTTTGTTTTGCATCTTTCAACGGTTTTGAGTCAAACTTTT